TGACGCATCCTGTGACATAGAGTTACTAGTGGATAATTGTACTTGTAATTGGGGAACGAGCATAGCCAAAAGTTGTTGGCATTGATCTGGTGTAAAAGGCACATTAGATTGATGGCTAGGAATCTCAAGCTTCCTGTCAGCTAGAATTTGAGCAACAGCACCAGCAATAGGTGACTTTCCTCTAGCAAATTTATACCCTGGAAGATAACCAACTATCTTGTAACATTTTCCTTTAATGTGTGACTTTCCTCTAGCAAATTTATGCCTTGGAGGATAACCAACTATCTTGTAACATTTTCCTTTAATGTGACCAAACATCCTGCAATGGCTACATATAGGTTTGTCCTTCCTCTGAAATGAACTGAATGAATTATACCTCTGATTAGCATCTGATCCCTTCATCATTTTACTGGCAAATGCAGCAGCCTCGAAATGTTGCTGTTTTTTAGTAGCAACATCCTTTTGCCTCTCATCTTATAGAATGAGTGAAAAACTTTGTTCAATGAAGGTAGAGGATCCATCAACAAAACTTGGCTTCTAACAGTAGAGAATTGATCATCTAACCCCATGAGAAATTGCATAATCTGATCCTCATCCTTATAAGACTTGTTGTTAACTTCCAGCCTGTAATTGTCTAACTCTTCCCAAAGTCCTTCGAATCTGTTGAAATAGGAACTAACAGATCCATTTTCCTGCGAAAACGAAGCAATCTGCTTCTTCAATTCATAGACGTATTTTCCATTTCCTAGGCTGTACCTGTCTCGTAGCTCATTCCATATCTCCCTCGCAGAATCTTTATGCATTACACTAGGATAGAGCTCCTTAGGAATAGAATTTATGATCTAGGAAGAAACAACATGGTTGCACCTTCTCCACGCACCGAACTGCAGATCATCCTTGTTTGGTTTGTTTATAGATCCATCAATGAATCCCTCTTTGTTTTTAACACTCAACGCCATAACCACAGATCGACTCTACGTCGAATAGTTGTCTTCATTGAAAACAACTAAAATGAGTTGCATACCAGTGTTATCTCTATAGTGGAGATAATATGGGCTTGCTGGATCAGAAATCAATCGGCTGATAAGAGAATTATTATCTCCTGTTGCAATTTCAGCAATGGACGAATCGCCACATGAATTCCCATGAGCACACTGACTTTCCAGATCTACTGCAACATTTGATTCGTCCGCCATTGTGAGAAAGCTCCAATAGATTGCTGTGATACCATGAAGAGTTGCAGAGGGATGTCAAATGTGAGGAGGAGAATTGGCTGGAGAAATGGTTGAAATGAATTTCATATATGCCAAATGATTACAGCTCCCTCTTATATACAAGTTCAGCAAACAAAGTCATGCCCATTCTGTGATGGAATATTTACGCAATGACATAAATAACCTTGGCTAATATTGAACTCAACAGTTACATCCTTTTTCACAAGAGACAAATAATAGTCCATACAACGGTTGTAGTTATGCCATGTGTAAGGATCGGATCAATCAACTTGGAAAGCCAAAAATTCCATTTACCAAACACGTTTTTATCAAAGAAAAGAAAAGTCAACCCAGCAATGTGAATCACCATTTAATCAACAATTTTCACCTTACTGAACTATTGACTCAATTTTAGTATTAAAACTTTCTAACACAGTAACACTTGTTTCACTTGCTCTGATTAACATGTAAAAAGAAGAAGATAGAATTAGTTTAAAATTAGCACAAACTAACTTGTTTACTTTATTCAAAACATTACAAACTTATAACAATTAGAATAGTTAAGCAATTTTTTAACTTATTCAAGGGAAGAACCTTGATACCTACATAAGAGGGATTGAACTCAGGTGGAATTTTAACCAATGTTATCATACATTTTTCGTTCTTGTCTGCAACGGAATGAAATTTCATATTAACCTAGTCCTTTTTTCACAGCCTAACAAGCTGCTAGATATTTTGAACAAACGACAACTACATCTTATATAACAAGTAAATCACTTCATGGAGAACTTGTATCAGATCACAGTATGCCTCCATCTTAACATGGAAAGATACGTACATAATATTTTACAAGAAATATGAACAATACATAGCATTATGAAACATATATTTCTATTTAGTCCTTGTGTGATGTAGATTAAACTGTACTAAAATTTCAAGTCAAAGTAAATAATAAATTTTATGGGACCTACAACTTTTCAACTGCGTATTTCATCATCTTTTATCAAAAACTACTAAAAATCTGATTTTATCAAACATGGGCTTAAACATAGCAATATGGCGTAGTTAAAAACGTGCCCTTTCTAATAGATTCGACGTAATCACGAGAAGCATAACATTTTGTAACACACCATGTATCTTATGATATGAATTAAGCCTTATGGCGTAATTAAAATTATGTACACCAACATAAATGAATTGAAACACACATTGCACTACACGAAGCAAATGCAATGAATCACATTCTTCTTTCACACTAGTGTCAACAATTTACCTATGCTCTTCGTCAAATGATACAAATTAAATTACATGACCAAACATATCGTTCACTCCAATATAATTTCAGTAATCTAGAATTCTTCAGCTCTAAATAAAGTTATATAATTAGCATGTTGAATATGGAGATACAGCATACATATACTTTCTTTTGAAAAAAAAATGGTTTAATGGGGTTGTTTTGGTATAATTTTGAGTGGGACCCTTCCATGTTCTCCTCCATGAGAACATCGAAATCATATTTTACTTGCCAAAAATAATAATCGGGTGAATGAGAAATTGAAGTTTAAAGTTGATGACTTGAAAGGAGTTTACAAAGGCAGTTTTATACGCATAAAACTGGGAAGTTTAAATGTTTCATACGTATGAAACATGGTGCTTGGAAAGAAAACTATATGTAGTTTGTCCCATATAGGAAGATTATAAAAGTAATGACCACCTTATATATTGTTACACTTTGAAAGGGTGTAATCATATGTTGTATAGATGCTCTCTCCACGTGCGCACGCAGGGGGTGTAAATCAAGGATTGAAATTGTACATCGTACCTTGAACCTGTGTACAAGTGTGACCTACGTACACGAATATTGAACCAAATGGAGCAAAAATTGGCCCCTTATAAGTGTCCACGTTTTGCTTTTATTTCCTAAAAGTTATCTAATGTTTTCCTTCCAAAATGACTCTTCAATTCTCAAACTGAAATATAATTGTGAAGTTATTGGTGGTGTTAAGTGTGTAACACCTATAACTGTTGGCCATTCATACCACTCATTCATGGGCCATTAGGTTATAATAAAGCTAAATTTTTCCTTCATTCCAGACACACAAAAATACTCTCTGCATATATAGTTTCCAGTTTTTTTTTTGGTTTTCTATCTTTCAGCATTTCCAGTTTCTGTCCAGAATCTTGGTGATCCATTCAGATACATATTCAGTGCTAAATTTCTACGAGTTTCTTCATTGTATCCTAGGAAACAGATGCTCGTTAAATCTTCGAGCACTTACGGTGAGTGAGCGAATATTTTATAAGGACATTGTGTTTACAGAGACCTCGGTTTGCAAATTTGTTCTCTTTTGGCGATGAATTTATTTACTGTTTTATCTGTACAGTTTACTAATAGTTCGTTCTTTTTCAGATATTATATAATTTTGCTATTATATTTTGTCTAACACTTTCAATGTCATCAACGCAATGCATTCTCTTGTACAACATCAAGCCACGATATTTAAGTGTTGTTTAGCACAGTTTTTCAGATTGTGTATTCTTCCATTTGAATCATGTACTGTGTATATACACCCCCAAATGCAAAACATAGGACCCATGTGTTTATTCAATGTATTCAATAAATCTGATGCAAAAAAATGGATTATCAAAAGTGTCATTTAAAAATAAAAAATAAAAAAGAAAGAAAAGAAAAGAACTCTTAAAAGTAAATCTGATTCTCTTATCTCGATCAAGAAAAGTAGTATATGAATTGAGTGAAGTTAATAAAAAGAAAAGGAGATCCCATAATCAACAATTAGATGATTCAATGAATCCTTTAGCCAAACTAATGTATAAAATTTTAATTTTAGCAAACACTACTTTGTAATTGGAAATCAAGCATCTCTTGTGAAGATCTATTCGTATCATAGGATTCTCCGTAAGTTTATTTTGCGTATTCAAGCAGCAATTAGTATTTTGGGTAACTAAGAGTAGTAGTAGTATATCTAGAATTTGTTTTTATTATGGACTAGAAGTGAATTTCCCATAAAATGTTTGACTACATTCCGAAATGTGCAAGCGTATAAAAACTGGTACATTGTTCTCAAAATAATGGATACATGACTGACAATTTTACTCCAACATTTATAAATCATATTACTACATCTAAGATTGTGTATGATTTTTTTACATATTTCTTAGTTCATAACATTTCTTCAATCATAAAATTCATTTACAAGATATATCTGGCATATATGATATATTTACACTTACCATCTTTCTAACAATTACATATCATCCCCTCTACGTTCATGAATTGCACATACTCCGTTGACTTTCATTAAAAAAATAAAAAATAACTTTGGGCTGGAATTTATAGTTGTGACAAAATGGAAATCCAACTGACCATTTACAATAATAATTAATAATAAAAATAACGTCTCCAACTCACCCACCACCACTTGTCAACGTAAACAAATTTGTTTGTTTTGTTTTACAAGGGAGGGACCCTGTTTCATAAATTCATTGGTCAACTAAATACACAAAAAAGTATAGCATTAGACATTCACTCTCATTTCTTTGTTGATTTTCAAGCTCCTCTCTCTCAGTTAAGGTTTGTTTCTCAATCAGAAAAGTGTTTGATATTCGTTCTAGCATTCGACCCTCTTTTTCTTTTTCTCCTGTTTTACATTTTCTTTTATTCTCTTTGTTATAAGCTAGAAATTGTGTTACTAAGCTTTATATAATGTCTCGTCTTCTGGATCTATTTAATCCACGATTCAACAGTAAGCTTAAGCCTAAACAGAGATGTCTAGGAATGATGACATTGACCAACTATCTTTGGCTTCGAGTTTGCCGACAGAAGAACAAAATGGAGGAGAAAGATTAGATTCAGGTACAAGCATCCTCGACCACCAAACCTGAATATAGGCTGGCTTTAGCAATAAATACATTTTTGTTTATTTTAGATTTCAAATTCAATCGATAATTAATAGGCTTATATATATTCTTTCTCCACAGATCGACGGAACTACCAAACGCCACCAGGAGGATTCAATCTTTCTCAGGTAAAATTTTTGGCCTGTTTACTCTTTCTGTATGCGAATTGATTGCATGTGCATTTTTTTTTCGTTGCGGCATTTAAAATTCTATATGTTTTTGAGGAGGATCTGGGTATATTTTGTTTGAGCAAACACAGGGATTGGGTAATGGTGCAAAGCGGCGGATCTTGAAGGAACTCGATGATATTCAAAAGAATCCTCCTGCCACTCTCAGTGCAGGTATATTAATAATTTTAACAAGTAAAAAAAAACATATTATTTATATGTTTTTGCTCAGTTTCAGAGGTTTTTTTTTTTTTTTGGGCGTTGGGGGGAGGGGTTATTATGCATTAAGCAATTCTTTATAGAGGGGCTTTATTTCAGGTGATAGTTCATTTTTTTATTTCTATTTTTGCAACTAAGATAACGGCTTTGATAATATACTATTTACAAGTAAAGGCTTTGGTTGCTGATGGGACTTGGTAGATTTATACTTATGTTTATGTGTTTTCTTCCCTTAATTTATGAAATTATGAATATATATATATGAGTACTTCAAGATACATTATGTTATTAATAAGATGTCGAAACAAATATGTTATAGATGGTTTCTACTAAACTGTATATAGCATGCTTCTACTTAATCAAAGCTTGTTAAAACTTACTTGAAGTTGAAGAAATTCCAAGATAAATTAGATTGAATCACTTGTCTTGCCTTTACTTGTACTCCTTGGTACAAAACGTGATCACAATGGAAGGAATTCCTTTGCCAAAATCCAAATGCCCTTTATGTAATGAACGAATGTCCAATAGTAATTTCTTACCTTTTCAATTTAGGACCATTTCCCATACGAATTATTGTTGCATTTTCTTTAGAAAATCTTAACTTCCCACATTCATGTCTCAATTGAATCAACGGGGGTTATTGTTGGTTATATGTGGTGGGAAGTTATTTCATAAATTAAATAGCAACTTCTCCCTCCAACCCATTTCATACTACATGGGTTGGGTCAATATCAAGGATGACCACGCGATTTCAACATCTCTAAGTCACACATGATGGGCTTGACCTGAAATCAACAATCATCAATTAGATTTGTCTCTAAATCTAGCACATGGAGTTCGTGCTGAGAAATGGATTGTGCGACCCGCGAGTAGCTTAGAGCACAAAATGTTATGCACTAGTTAAGAATATATAGTAGCTCTATAATGGGAATGAAATCACATCTCACTATATCCCGAATATCAATTTTCAATACAAATTCAAACATTTTCGATCCCTCGAATATTTATGAAACATATTTAACTAAGTTGTGTGTTATTATATTCACAATTGGGTTTTTCATCATAAATATTTAATATAATTGTCCAACCGGTGAATCCAAACAAAAATATGAGTCAAAATAATTTTCCTTTCCTACTCGATTCTTTTAACTTGATATTAGTTGATTTCCTAGACATGTTACATCAAACTGAATCAATAATAGTTACTAGCAATATGCTAAATTAGTAATACGGAAATAAAATCTCGAAAAACAATCGAAAGTCATAAGGGTATAAAGAGGTTATGTAAACCTAGGATCTCACAAAATCAGGAAGCATTGATATATTTACTCATTTACCCACATTGGTCATAAAAAGCACATATGGTATGAAACATGTACTATAGTGTTTTCTCACTGTCTTAGGACGTATGTTATATATTTTTTTAAATAAATAACACCTTACATATATCCAAGTTCATATTCTGGATACCTTATTTGAGTTCTCCTTACATCCATTTCTCCATGCAATCTAAAACTAAGAACTCAATCTAACTACTAAATAGGTTTAATGGATAGCATAATCCATTTTGATTAAATATAATAATCTCATCTTGATTCATGAAGGAGATCATATAATGTGCATAACACCATAATTGATCGTGAGTGAGTCAATCTCAACCTATTTGACAGACTTTATAAAGATTATGCTTTTTGTACATAAAAATGGTACATAATAGATTAAACAAAATGATGTGATGGGAAAAGATTGAATGAAAAAATTGATTGTATTTTAAACTGACAAAAGTAACATGTGATATTACGTAACCTATTATGTAAAGCTTAATGTACGTGTATAAAGGTCCACTTGATAAGTACATTAAATTATTATCTATAATTGTAATAGTAGATTACACATGAACTCAAAATTATTCATTTATGGGCATATAGAGTAGTTTTTAGATACACAAAGTATCATATTCTATGCAACTTCAGAGATTCGATATAACCAAGAAGACACCATCTTTGTTAATGTACCTCGGAGAAATACCTTTGGGTGTTTAATTCGATCATGATACTTCAAACGCTCCTTTGTATGTGAATAACTATCATGAATATCATATTCTCAATTAGTATCATTAGATGTTCAACATATCTATATCAAACAATTTCTTATGCTGCTAAGTTGTAAGCTAGCAAATTTGTTTCTTGCTACTTTATATAACAAGAGCGTATAAGTTTGTAACTATTTGTGCTTGACTAGGTCTTTCGCTCCTATTTACGTCTTATCATTTCATTTCTTGCCTTCTTGTTAGCAATGGAATGGAAAAGAGTAGATTGAACTCATAACTGAGGTTACAAACCTCTTTCTTCTATTCAGTAATTCCCTCAATAACAATTAGAATGAATAATGATACCCTTTAGGTATCAAAATATCCTTTCTAAGGATTACATTTATACTGACTAACTAGATTCATGGCATGACAAATGTTAGGAATATTATACATCATAGCGTACTTCAATCTCCTAAATGTACTAAAATATAGTTCTTTAGATGTTTCTTTGTTCATTTCTGGAGTCTTTGGACATGTACTACTCAAATGTCATTTTTTGATATAGAAGTATCAATAAGATAACCATTCTCTAGTGAGAAACATTCTAAAATCTTTATAATACAACTCTTGTAACAGAGCAAGAGACAAAATTAATAATATAGCACAAAGTTTATAATTTTCCAAACCTATATACTTTGTCTCAAAGGTTGAGGACAACCATTTCTAAATACTCTCAATATACTCTTTCTTATGATTAACCAGTACATCATCAATACAAAAAATTTAGAATTACAATCTACCATTAAACCTTCACATAAATACAGTATTCTTCATCCATACAATGAAATTGTACGAGATTTAAACTCTAACAAAATCCAAGTACCACTATCAAGATGACTGCATCAGGCCACAAGTATAATTATGAAATTACTGCTATTCTAAATGACTTTGAACTGAAGCATACAAGTGGGTTCATATAGATCTCTTCAATCATTTCTCAATTGAGAACGAAAATACAATCTCTAGATCTATTTGGTGTAACTCTAAATTTAAACTCACTATTATGTCTAACATAGGCATATAGAAATGAATCTCACTGCAATGAAAAAGGTTTATCACACTCAATAACCTCAAGTCGGGTATAACCTTTTTTCAATTAAAAAAATGATCCTTATCTATCATAAACCCATTATCCTTCCGTTAAAATTTCAAAAACTCAAATGTTCTCAAATAAAAGTTGATGTCCAATCAGAACTCCCATCACATTTGGATTTGGTTGAATTTTCTAAGCACCATATATACTGTCATCACTTTCATTGGTTTTTTTATGTCTAATTAGAACATCTACCACATCCCAAATTCGGTTGAATTTTCTACCCTTCATCTATACTTCTATCACATTTCATTGATTTTTTCTCTTTATATTCCAATAAGGAAAGAGTCTTGGTAAACCAAGAATATCTAAAATAAGATTGCTCTCACTCGAAATCATATTAGATTGTTCCTACTTGAATCAGAAGTTAAAAACAACTCTTACGTATATTAACTAATTCACCAGCACATAATATTATCTAATCCCAAAACACATTCTCCCTTACTAGGAACAATTTCAAACCTCACATCTTGTGATTATGCATCCACCTAAACTTTTACTTATGACCCTTTGGAATGTCATGTGTATATCATATGATATATTCCTATCTTATCAAGCTAATGTTTCCAAACTCATTTGGACAAATCGGGAACTTATATAGATGGTCATAAGATAACCCACATTTGTCATCTACATGTCCAAAGCTGATACAATATTCGAAGGTACTAGTGTTGATAGAACTCGTTTGAGTGGCAAGTAGCAGTTCAAGAAACATTCTCCCACCAAAAAGGAAACAAGTTAGGCTGCATAATCTTGAACTTCACAACATTTTGCTATACAATATCCCTTCTATCCAATATATCATATGGTTTGGTGAATTAGGAATAGTCAATTCGTAAGAAGTTTATCATTCATTACATAGATCATTGAACTCTCGTTATGGAGGTTCACGCTCTCCAACAGTTCTCAAGGTCTTGACTTTCATAATCTAATTTTCTACTCCATGAAAGTAGAGTCTGAATCAATCCAATGCATTCAACTTATGAAAATCAAAAACACAACCGAAATGCATGAATCCATTATAAGCCCTTTTTTGAGCTCCATTATTTGAAATAAAATTGATTTTTGAATGGTGTTTTTTGGACAATGTGTGGTTAAAAAGTAAGGAGAATTTTAGATTTGAGTAATATTATTTTATTGAGAGAATGTATGGTTAATAATGGGAGAAAGAAAAATGAATTAAAATTTAGTGGGGGCCAAACATGGGCTAAATGTAATGGAAACATGAGATTCCATCTCTATCTCTTATAGTAATAGCCTGCAAAAAATCCGAATAAACTGACTATAATGGAAGTTTAGCTTTTATTGCCTTTGAATAGTTTTTCAAAAAAATATATTGTGCAGCATGAATCAATACATCGAACCATTACACAAAAATATCTAGAATCATAATGAATATCACCATGCTAACAGAACTACAACGAAAAGGTTAAAGTTAAAGACTATTATTAGAAGAACAACTGAGATCAATTTCAGTAATCTTTCATGACATTGTGATATCAAATAAGAGGTTACATTGTCTACCTTGCAACTCTATGTTGCATGTACCAATCGTGTAAACCTCCACTTAACCTTCATTATTAACATGTATCTATTTCATATCAAGTTAAAGACTCGATAATAGACTAAAGATATATCTTGATCTCACATAAAGTGATTTCTAACTCTTGAGTACACCATCCATATAGAATAAGATTCAAGAAGTAATATTTGGCACTAAACAATACTAAGAGAAATATTTTTAGTCACAATATCCTTTAGCTTAAGCAC